ACAGATATTTGTGTCGTGACATCTCATTCGACATTACATATCTGATACCAGAATTTCACTATGAATTATTTATTATTGTTAATGATGTCATATTAATTTTATAAGTTTTATGTGCAGAAAAAACCAAAGAAAACTGCAACAGAAGAAACATCTTGTGATACAACCCAAGAACATCCTCAACATAATGAATTTGGAGCTTCAACCTAAGAACAAACTCAGCCTAATGAATTTGGAGTTTTAACCCAAGAACAACCTTGTAACGCGGTGGGAGAACTGACTTTGGTGTTTTGCATTTTATTGCAATTGTTGAGGTTAGCAAGAGTCGCCACCGGCTTTTCTTTTATCTAAAAGGAAAGGCTGAAAAGAATAGGAAAGCCCTTTGAGATTATTTCTGAGTTCGGGGGGTAGATTATGAAAAGGGAAGGTATTAGCACTCTTTTCATCCGTAGTTATCTATGGGCTCTTAGTTGCTTGCTAGATCACTTGCTTTTGCTTGAAAGTGTGCTTGTGGCGTGGGTTTTGAAAGTATTTTGAAAATGTGACTTTGTAATGGCTCTCGTTTCTATAAGAACGCGTACAAAGTGTTGTTTTGAAAATAGTTCAAAGAGGTGTTTGTGGAATGTGTTTTTGAAAGTGATTTTGAAAAGGCATCTTTGTAATGGCTCTCGTTTCTATAAGAACGCGTACAAAGTGTTTATCTTTTGAAAATGTTTCAAAATGAGAGTGTTGGTGTATAAAATGTTTTTGTTGTGAGCAAGCGAGCAACTAGGAGCAAATCTACCTACTCAAAAGGTCTTAGATGTTCTTTTCCTCCTCCTTTAGATGTTGCTATCTTGCCATTGATTTGGTAAGAAGCCCCATCGTTGGATGTGAAGGGAGGGTGTGGGACGTTTGTATAGTCATAGAAGGCAACCTATGGGACGTTTTAGCAATTTCATTTAGGGACTAGATCGTTTACCAAAGGCAACATCGAGGGTCATCGAGGGACTACGATCTTTTATTGAGGTTCTTTGCTAAAATGCCCATGTTCGAGAGACATGACTATTTTTCCGAGGCAACAAGTGAGATTACCCTAAGGGTGCATGTGTGAATAGTGTGTTTGATTGCATGCACTTGTCTTTGATTTTTAGGTTCTCTACTTGTTGTTTTATCTATCCATACACACCTATTTACTAGCATTTGTATAAAGCAATAAAAATGCAAAAAATAAATCCTACACTATTACAATCATATTGAAGTGCATAGAAATATAAAGGCAAAAATAAGATAAAAAGAAACAAAATGAGTTCTTTTGACTGGGGCAGGAGAACCCTTCGATTTACATTTTTTGGCCTCCTTCGATTGGGGGTTGGCACCAATGAGGTCATGGCCTTCGATTGGGCTTGGCCTGAGGCGTGAGAGGTGACCTTCGATTGGGCTTGTCAGCAGCTGGGTGTGCCTTCTGGTTCTGCCTTGTTGCTTTCTTCAATTGAGGTTGGCAGCAGCAAGTCATGGCTTTCGATTCTGGATGGAATTTAGTGCAAGCGTGCCTTTTAATTATGCCTTTCTGCCTTGGAAGTCAGCAAGGAAGCCCAAGTCTTCGTTTCATGTTTCCTTCCCCTTGTTTCTTTCGTTTAAGGCATTAAATGGAAACATGGCCTAAGGCCATGCTAGTATTTGTCTTGCAAATAGTTTAATAGTTAAAGCAAGTTCAGGTAAACAAAAAGCAAAACGAAAGGGTTAGCTCTGAAAAACATGTTAAAAGGGTGGAAACGAAAGGAACAATGGTATGTACATGCTTGAAATGAATTAAAAGCTTATTTACATGTTATGCCATAAAACGAAAGGTTCAAGGGTAAGAGTGACTTACCTTGCTGGAGGCTTTGAATGGGTGTGGGACCTTGAGTGGAGGCCCATGGTGCTGGATTCGAAAGAGAGGGCCAACAACTGTGCTTGGAATGCTGGATTCAAAGGAAGGAAAGAAACAAGTCTTATGTTTCTTTCCAAACTGGATTCGAGGGATAATGAAGAGTGCTTGTTCTTCAGAATCGAAGGAAGTAAGTATGTGATTCTGGGTTTGTTCTTATAAGTGTTGAAGGGACTTGAGAGATTTGTTGTGTTTGAGAAAATTTGGGAGATTCGTTCCTCTGGTCCAAAGATCCTCCTTTCCTTGTTCATGGTTCCTCTATTTATAGAGGAAATGCTTGGGAGACGTTGAAGTAACCAGCCTTGCAAAAATAATAAAATAATAGGTAGCGTGAAAGGTATAAGTGAGGGGGGCCTTTTGGCAGTAGGGGTGCAGAAGATGTGACTTATGCTTCTGGCCCTCTGATTATACCAAGATTTGGAAGCAACGTAGCCTGTCAAGTAGCTGGTCATGAGATTTCCTCAGATTTTCTTCAAACGAAAACTGCTTTGAATGGCTCAGCTTGGATTCGAAGCAAGCTAATTCGAAGGGGATCCACATTTCAATCGAACTTTGCATGTAGGTACTTTTGTCCAATCGAAGGCTTGCCTTCCCATTGTCATATGCAGCCAAACGAAAGAGTTTACGTGGGGGGGTCCCTGTCTTGTGACTGTTCAGCATGAGGGAAGTTAAATGCCCAAATGAAAGGTTTGACCTTGTGCTGAAGGATTCATGCCCAAACGAAACAAGCATGCAAGCAGCGAACTTGTCCAATCGAAGCAAGTATGCAGACAACATACTTGCCCAATCGAAGCAAGCATGCAGACAGTATATTTTGAGCAATCGAAGGAGGTGCAAAGTCCAATCGAAGGGTTTGTCTTGCAGGGGGGACATATGGCCAGCAGGTCACGGCCTTCGATTGCAAGCATGCAAGCAACATACTTGTCCAATCGAAAGGCTTACAAGCAGCTAAATTTGAGCAATCGAAGAGGGTGTAAAGTCCAATCGAAGGGGCTGAATCGAAGGAGGCCTAAAGGTCCAATCGAAGGGGCTGAATCGAAGGAGGCCTACTTTTCTCCAAATTTGTCAAAATGTTATTTTTACCTGTTTTCTCCCTTTTTGACAGTTTCCTTTTAATCTTGGTACTGGAAAATCCCAAAGCACTTGTGCAAGCTTGAATCCTGAGAATCTTTGTGAGAAAACCCTTGAGAATTGAGAGGGCAAATTTTGGGGTACAACAAACCTTAACCTACAACTTCTCAAACTGATATTGATTTTAAGTTTGAAATGCTTGTTGGAAATATTGCAACAACATTTGAGGTAACATAACCACAACCAAATGTGAATGATGTCATATCATAAACAATTCAAACTATACCTATTCCAAATGCTTAAACTGTATTTGTTCCAACTGCTCAAGTTGCACATGCCCCTACTGTTGCACATGATTATGTATAACTCTTTTCCACTTGATTACATTTTGTTTGCACCTGTTCCAACTACTCAACATGGTGTACTTATGGTGGTTGTTTATGAAACTCCTATATCTCTTAAACCACTTGAGATCATGCAATTATTATATCAAAATATTCCTATAATATTGTGATGTTTGTGTTATGTAAAAAAAGAAAACCAAACCAAAAGTTGCTAGGAAGTTAGAGTTGAGGAGAAGTGATACAATAAGGGTCATTAAATGCAAAAACTCAAGGGGTAAGGAAGTGATCCTGCAAAACCTTTGGAATTATAGACATTAAACATCTTAGCAAATTTTAATTATGGTTTAGTTATGATGTATTTTGAGACCTTGTTATACTTTTTGGATTTATAGACATGAACCAAATTTTACGAGTTAGTTATGATGTAATTTTGCTGTAACTTGAGATATAACAGAAAGTTGTATTTTGAGACAAGTTCATATGCCTTTTGGGCTATATGTATTTTGGTTATGCAATACATTATCAGTTTGTGCAAATCTTGATTTTAGTTCATTAAGACACATGGTATAAAAACAAAATAAAAAATAAAAACTTATTGGGACGAAAACCATAAAATTAAAAACTTCATCTTCATTCATTAATTAACCATTATAGGGATGAAAGTCATAAATTATCCTTATCAGAGGGACGAAAACCAAAAAATTACAAAATAATTAAAATTACATCCAACACCATTTATGGTTAGCAATGAAGAAACTCCATAAAAAAATTAACAAAAACTTAAACATGTTGGCTTTTTTCCCCTTTGTTTTCCAACTTCATCTTCATCTTCTCTTTTTCCAAGACTCAATGCCTTTAATAATGTAACATAAATCCTTCACAACCTATGAGCAATTGCAATCAGTTGAATTTCTAGGTCCACTTGATATTTTGCATTCAAGTTTATCATCTCGTGTGAACAACTTGCAACTTGAGAATGCCTATGAATGTTGGAAAATAAACAAAATCAGGTAAATAATGAAACATTACCCCCAAACTACCATTAACAGGTGAACAGTCAACATTGAACATTACCCATGAACTTTCACATTTCTAATATTTATTGCAGCCACATACTAGGATTTGAAACAAAGTGTAGTTTCCAACTGAAGATGTAGCCATGCTTCATTAGAAATGGATGGCAACCTATAAGAAGAAGAATTTGAGTAGAGGAAGAAAAAGAAGGAGAAGTTGAAATATCATTTTCATTTTAGATTTAATCCTTCTTTTTAAAACCATCAAATAATACTTTCCACGTAATAATAGAGTGCCAGAAGAGGAAAATTGAAAAATAATTCCTCATCGTCAATGTTAGCCACGTCATCTTTTTTGAACAAAAGTTTAACGTCAGGGAATAAACCTAAAATGAAAACAACAATTAGGTACTCCACCCTAAAAAGGAAAGATTTAGGGACTAAAATAAAAAACACGACAACTTACAGGGACGCAAATATCATTTAAGCCTTTCCCTTACTACTCAAATATCTGGCCATCTTTTTTCAACAATGACCAAGGGTTATCAATTGCAGTTTTATATTTTTACTAGGCCCCAAGAAGGGACAACTTAAGTAAAGGCGAGGAAGGCCATCAGAGGGGCGAGTCACCCAGTGAAGCCCCTTATGGCCTGAAGGCTAGGCACCATGGCAAGGGGCGAGCTACCCTACAAAGTTAAGGAACTCCCAAAGAAGCCATATGATCGCTCGAAAGGGGGCAGCGAGGTTGCTGAAAGCAGGCTCCCATGTCCACAAAACGTGGGTGATGATGTGGACCCACAAGGACTAACAGATAAAGGGCCAGCCAAAGGGAGAAACCACCCTCCCCATAATCTAAGGAGACTAAGTTCTCCCATGATCCCATTCTTTGATCAGAAAGCTAGGGTAAACCATTATCTGGATATCTAAACCAGGCCCAAGACACCTATATATATATATATATATATATATATATATATATATATATATATATATATATATATATATAGTTATCCTCTAACAAGAGAAAGGGGGATAAGTTCTAAGTTATACACACTCTCCACAACTCAAAGAACACCATACTCGTTACCGCCTTAACATACATGACTAACCTAACCGCACGCCTGCAATCAAGCAGTGTCAGCCCCTAACAAGGCCCCTCAACTCACATGAGTTGGTAACTTAAATAGCCTCAAATAACATCTTACATGGCTTCTCGCCACTGTAAGAAAACTCTCACCACCAAAACGTGTTATACACATATTAAGGCCTCTGAGTTTCCATACCTGTTATACCCCAAAATTTGCCCTCCCTTTTTTTTCACAAAGAAATCACAACCCCAGGGTTTTCTCTGATTTTTGAGATTGGCTCAAGAATCGGTCAAACAGACTTTTCTTTATCAGTCAATCCAGAATTAGGGTTTTTCGCTCGCATTTCTCAGAAAGAACTGAATCCTCAGATATTCAGTTAATTGTTACATTATTGTCATGCTTGTTCAAGATTGATGGTTATTTCTCAAAGAACCTAAATATCTGGGATAGGAGCTGAGGCTTTGTTTGAAACTTTGAGGCATTGGTTTGATCAGTGGAGTGAAAAGTGTATGTAACACTTGTTTGATTAACTGTACAAAGCATGGTTAATTGGAATGCCAGGCGTATGATGATTAATGCAAGGTTGCGAGACGGCAAAGTTTACTGATTATTTATTTCATCTGGATTAAAGTTATTGGGATATATTCCCGGTTATTTTAATTTAAGAGACTTAAATAATTAAATAGACAAGACAAGGGAAAGAATGGAATATTTGACAGTAGGAAATTTTTATTTAACAAAGACTTTTTATTTATTTATTTCAAATATTGTTACAAATGTTATTCGAATATTGTAAATTTTATAATTTACAATGTTTACAATAATATTTTTTACAATAAATGAAAAGAAAATAAATCTAAAAAGCCTAAATCTCTTGAAATCTTTGATCTTCTACTGTTTCTTCCATTATTCAACTGATACCTACCTGAAAAAAGAAGAAAAGAAAATCAGTACACGATTATCTTTAAATGAAAAGAAGAAGAAAAATCATCATTAAAATTGGCCGTCTAGAATCAGATTGCCTATTTTTCATCACGCTTTATTTTTCTCTCTGCAAATCACAAGAAGATCACTCTTCTCGGTTCACAGAGAGAAAAATAAAATATAAATGCAAGCATGTCAAACTCAATGCAAAAACATGAGTCAATTACAAAAAAGTTCCAAACTGCATTAACTAAGCAAACTGAATTACAAAAAGTTCCAAGCTACATTAACCAAGCCAAACTGTGTTACAAGTTCAAAGAGGCAAACAGGCGCCAAAACTGCCAGGGTAAGTCAAAGCAAAGGAATAAACTCAGCAGCAAGTAAAGTCCCTTATTCAGCTACAGTACAAAATTTCCCAAAATCAAGTTACAAGGCAGATTTGATAAAAATGGTAATGCAGCATGAAAACAGCAATGCAGCAGACAAAAAGCAAGACAGCAAGAAGTAATTTGTTTGACAAGTAAAAACTTGTCAAAGATGCTTTTTCATCATTTTTTAGACAGCCCAATTTTTCAGAAATAAAAGGATAAATAAGCAATTAAAAATGCTTATGGAGAGAGAGGAAAGAGAGAACCTAGTGAATAGGTTTTGCAGTTTGCAGTTTTGGTAGGCTGTAAAAGGCAGATAAGAGGAACCAAAGAAAAGATATAACAGTAAAAAAATCACAAGGGAGAAAAAAAAGAGATTGCATAACCTCTAAACTGGCAAGCAAAACTCACAAGCCTTCAAGCCTGCTTTCAAAACCAACAAAAAACCTGCAAAACTACAAGTTTAAGCAACCAAGCCCGCCTCCAACTGAAGCCTGCTTCTAACAATACCAGAAGCAAAGCAAACTAACATACAGCCTGCCTTACCAACAACATAAAAAATATCATAAAACCTGAAGCCTGCTTCCAACAAACAAACTGCATAAGCCTGCATAACTACAAACGCAACACAAGCCTGCCTAAAGCTTACCAAGCCTGCTTCAAAACTTAGAAGCCTCTCAAGCTCACCAAAACTCAGAACTCCAAAATCTGCATAACCCACAAAACTGCTTCCAAACCCAAAACAGAAATATGAGCAAACCTGCAAAACTGCAAGTTTAAAAAACACCCAAGCCTGCTTTCAAAACCTTCCTAAACAGCAAGTCTGTCAAAGCAAACCCAAAAAAACTGTAACCTGCATAACTGCAAGTCCCAGGCCTGCCTTACCAACTCAAACCTGCAACTCAAACAAATCCAAAAACCAAAGAACCAGTTCAAACAACAAAGGCCAAAAACTGCAACTCAAGGCCAAAAACTGCCTAAGCTACTAACACAGTTCAGTCTCACCATCATCAAATATTAAGCATCAGCCAAAAGAAGAAATGAAGAGAGTCAACTCAAAATCAGAATAAACAAGTTCATTATCATCAAACTAGATTCAGGAGCTATTTTTCAGAACAAGCTCATCATCACCAAGTAACAACAAGCAAATCTGAGAACACAATCATCATTGACAAAACATGCAGAAGAAGAAGAGAAGATTCAGAAGCAAAACAACAAATAAGTTTCAGAACATAAGATTCATCATCAACAAACAATAACCAACAAAATCATCAGCTCAAATCAGAAACAAATATTCAAGCATCCTTAGAACAAGTTCATCATTGTCAAGTATTCAGAAGCAAGAAATATGCCCTCGTCATCAAAAGTCAACAACTAAAGAGGAAAAGAGAGATTCAGAAGCATATGTTTTCAGACAACATCATCATAAAACATTTATCAACAGAAATCAAGCACAGAAATACCAACAAGCTATCATCACAGTCCTCTTTCGCCTAGCCTCCTGGAAGCGCCGCCGGCCAACTCACCCTCCTTCTCCTTCAATTTACAGAACAAAACGCCAAGGTATATCTCTCAAAACTCCTACTACATGTAAATATCAAAAGAAACATGGATTAAAACTCGCATGTAGTGATCAAGCAGAATGAAAGAGTAATATCACAAAAAACCTAAAACAAGTTAACAAATCGTATCGTCGCGAAGCAAGAACCCTAGACCACTACAAAGAGAAGGCGGAAGGTGGATGGAGGCGTTGCTCCGGTGGCTAAGGCGAGGGGAGAGGATATCTGTTTGTCCATGGCTAAGAACGAGAAGATGAGAGGAGCGGCGCCGTTGACTCAAAACTGCAAAACCTAGTTCTGAAAACATGAAACGCAAACCCTAAAAATTTGTTAAGCATCAATTGGGCTCTTGCCCCATAAAACCCCTAAGCCCAATACACGTTCTGGCGCCTACACCCCCCCCCCCTTCCAATCTAATTCTTGTTCATTCTTTTGGGTCATAACTCCTTAGGCCCATTATCTTTTTTTTATTATGTTTTTAAAACTAACATTTTTTTATCATTTTATTATCATTTTTTATAATCTATTTCTTCTTTTCTTTCCTTTTGTTAGATAAAAAATATAGTAAATTTTTTTGTACAAATTTTCTTAATAATTTTTTCCTAATAACTATTACATTTAATAAACACGCATAAATAATAGAATTCTTTAACTTAAATAATTTTTCTTTTCTTTAAAGCTCATTGTTTATATAATTAACAAAATACAATAATAATAAATACTTAATCTTTTTAAGTTACAATTTTTATTTGATCATTTGTAAATAAATACATACATCTCATATTTCTCTGATTTTCTTTATCTTATAATCTGTTAATATTTGAATTGTGTCGATTCAATTTGGTTGTAACCCATAATATTTGGGACATTATTCTGATAAGACTCATCCCCATTTGTAAATAATTTGTACCCCCATCCCCGGATACTCTTTTGTAATATCTTAGGATTTGATTCTCGCACTTTATGCTTTTTAAATATGTCATGATTAGAGATTAGGGTTTGTATGTGAAAATCTAAAATCGATCGCTAGATGACCTAATACAAAGACAAATGCATGAACATGACAAACACCATTCACACTTGCACCCCTAGGGTAACCTCGCTTGTTGCCTCGGAAAATGCAATCATGACCCTCAAGTATGAGACACTCTAGCAAATGCCCCTTCGATAAACAAAGATCGTAGTCCCTCGATGACCCTCGATGTCGCCTTCGATAAAACGATCTTGTCCCTTACAAAATTGCTAGAGCGTCTCACAAGTTGCCTTCAATGATTGTATACGATGACCCGCGCCTGTCCCGTTTAACATCCTAACGCAAGGTTATTCACCAAATACAATGGTGAAACAACACTGTTAAAAGGGTTAAAAACATAAGAAAGATCTTTGAGTAAAATAGGGTAGACAACTCTTAGTTACTTGATCAAAAATCTTGCAAAACATCCTTGCTATTTTTCAAACACACTTCACAACACAACTTCAAAACAACTTCAAAACAACTTTCAAAACATTGAATTATCTTTTCAAAAAGACACACACCTTTGTATATATTCAAACAAGAATCATTACAAAGGTTTCCTAGACAAGGAATCTTTTTTCAAAATATTTTCAAAACCACACACACAAAGCACCATTTCAAACAATTGAAAAGAAAAGGCAAGTGATCTAAAAACAAGTAACTAAGAGCCCATGGATAACCATGGATGAAAAGGGTGCTAGCACCTTCCCTTTTCATAATCTACCCCCCCCCCCCCCCCCCCCCCCGAACCCGAGAAAATATCTCAAAGGTCTTTCCTGTGCTTTTTGACCTTTCCTTAGGATAAAATAAAAAGTCGGTGGCGGCTCTTGCTAAACCGAACAAGTGCGAACACAAATGCAAAATCCCAAGTCAGTTCTCCCACCGTATCACAATACCCTTGCAGAGGAAACATGCACGCATGTACTTTTTGACCAGTACATCAATCATATTCAACATGGGTGAATCGCTCTTCTCAATTATAAAATTTATATTCACTTAATTTACCACTTTCCATTGCTTTTATCATCAGTATCTTAAAGCCTTTAGCTACAATGAGAAAAAAAGGTGATGTAGAATTTCTTTGTCTTCATTCTATTTCCATTTCAAAATTCTCAGTAGAACTACCATTAGCAATCACTAACACTCAAGATATTTTTAAGCATTATGCTATCCATCTTCTCCATTTGTCATGAACTCCATCTTTGACATCACCAAGTTGAGAAGATTCAAATCAACCGAATCATATACCTTATAGAATAGTTTGTGCCTTTGACAAACCTTCCAATTACGTGAAATTCGATAGTTACCCTAAAAGAAGTCAAGTTTTTCATTTCCTCCCAAAAAAATATTCACAAACCTAAAGTTTACTCTACTAGGCCCTATACTTTTATCACTACCACACTCCCATATCGATCTATAAATTTGCGCTTCTAAAAGTTATCAAACAAAATCTTGATCATGAGCTTCTTCGATTAATTTGAAATCCATGTTCTCCATAATTAATCTTTCATCTCAGACCATGAATTAACTATAAAATGATTAAAAAATACATTTTTTATTTCCTTCACCTTTGTTAACCTTTTTTCCATTCCTTTCCAAACTTAGGATTTCATTATCTTTTATTCTTTTGTTTATGAAACCATGAAAATACTTAGTGTTAGCTTCCACTTCATTTAACCATATTGTTCTAGCTCTTTGCCACTAAACGTTGAAATTAAGTCTTAAGAGATTGTGTAATTTTTATGAAAGCTCTCTCTTGGTTACTAAACTGTGATGTCCAAACTTAACCAAGTTTTCCCTCTGAGTCTTGTGCTTGAGGGACTGTGAACTAGGATTTCAAGCCTGAAACACATTGTCTTTCTAAGTCTCGTGCTTATGAGATTGTTGACCAAAATAACTCCATATGGGCCTCAAAGGGCCTGACCTATCATCTCCTTAGCCCGTACATATGATAAAATGGACTTGGGCGCAAAAGGGAAGGATCATATGGTGAGGACTTGATCCACCCCGACCTAATACTTCCCACTTATGGAACATGATAAACCACAATTTATGGGAGTAACTGAAGTCATCCAAAGTCTCACAAGATAACTATATTCTCTATTATTGAATATGAATCACTCCATTCACCCCGCTACTAAGTCAAAGGCAAGGGGTGTATTTCCGACTTTGTAGGCACAACAACCAGTCCTTTCAATAACCCTTGATCCAAGTAACCATGCCTATAAATAAACTAATTATAAAAATGGATAATGGATTCGCTCTTTAACATATCATATGACAAAAGCCCTATTGCACATCTTATCACATGCAAGGTAACTTGTATTGTACTCACCACAAGTACAATTAGTATATATTCATCTACAAGTGTTGAAACTTCACCTTTAATTTCTAATTTATCAATCCATTATTTTGCCTCTTTGATTTTTTCTTCCAAATTTTGAGTGTATTTTTGTGTCACTCTTTGGGACTCTTCTTGATTATTTGAACTTTTCCTTTTACAAATATATTCCTCACCTTTCCTTATTTATGTCTCATCAATTATTAACAACCTTATGATAGCCTTACATATTCTTCCAACAATTTAACATACAAAATGGTTTTGATCCATAATCTTGATCAGATTCACATAACATGATTGGACAATTGTCTAAAAGTTCCTTGTCTAGGCACCACTTTATACACGACGAGAAGTCTTGAACCATATGTTTGATACAAGAAACTTGTCCAACCGAATCCACCTATAAACCCTCGTATCTTGATCAAGTGAACCTTTAACCATGAACCGAAAGATCAACCAACTCTGACTCTATAAAAAATTAATCAAATTCTTATAATTTATCTCTTATAATATAGTCCCTCTTTTTTCTGTTTCTTCCATGATATCATTAAAGTTCCCATCAAGTATTGTCTTTTGTTCCCCACCTTAATTTTTGTTGTTAATTCCATCCATAAAGTTTGTTTTCTCCATCCATCACAAGGTGTATACACAATATCAAGAATAACTATTTTTTTATCGCCACCCCATTCTCCTCCAAGCCACGAAACAAACCCCATAGCCCGTTCTCTCTATATCAACCTGATATTTTTCTCCTAAATTGCTAAAATTTTCCTGATTTCCCTTCTGATGACTTGAAAGCAAAATCAAAGTAATTGAATATCTGTATTAAATTACATAAAACCCTTTCAATTATTTCTAGATTTGTTTCTTGAGCACATATGATATTAGACTTTTGTTTTTGGATTAAATTTTTCTATTCTTTTTTCTTAGCCACCCTGAAACCTCAAATATTATAACCGATCAACTTCATTTATAATTGATAGATTAACTATCTCCTAGATCATAGTCCCTCTTGCCTAAATCCTATACATTTTTTGCAATTTCCCTTACTTCCCCATGTAATAGTATTAATTATTCCTCTATAACAAATCTCCACGAGATTGAAGTCAAAGCTATCTACTACCTAATACCTTCTTATTTTCTTTTAAAATTGCAAACCTTCTCCTTTTAAATATATCTTTATTTAAATATATTGATATAAATGTGACTTAAAAAATTAAATTAAATATAAAATTAATTTTAAAATTAATTTTTTTTTAATTTTTTTTCGTTTTTACGACAAGTGTCCGATCTGCATAATAGACTGAGCATTGTTCCTAAGTAGAAATCGAATTCGATAGGTCTATGAATCAACTGGAATTCAAGTATTTGGTTAAAAAATTTAATTTAAGTTGAATCAATTAAAATAAAAAAAAAAGTTTTTGAAAAAGTATTAACATTTCAAAATCAATTATAAACTTATTGATTTGTTTTTCATCTAAAAAAGTGAAAAATCATTTTCTTCAATGCATACAATTCCATTTCAACTAGAACTAGGCAAACACTATCGCTTTCAACATTGTACAAACCCATTCCAAATCCAATATATTTCTCACACAAGAACACTAATCTAATTTCTGATCAGACACAACAAACAATCATCAAACACCAACGTTCCTGTCCAAATTCAACATACTACTAAACTCCAAACAATCACTTGATTTGGTCGAATTCGAGTTTGATTTGAAAACACCCCAAAAAAATGCATACTTTGATGGGTTTCTTCCTATAACTTGTTCAGATTCTGGGCTTTTCTTTCCTCTTACTCGTTTCAGATCCTATTTCTTCTCCTTCAGGTAATTAATTAATCAACCCTCTTATCTTTTGTGTTGATGAATTTCTGTGTGATTCTTGTTTTATGATGATTTTGATTAATGGGGTTGATCATGATTTGTGATATTTCCAAAAAAAGGTTAAAACTTGGTGTGTAAAAATGAAAAATTTGAGTTAAATTGTTCAATGTGAGTGATTTTTATTTTTGGTTTTGTTTTTGTTTTTGCCCCAGCTTTAGTGCACAAAACGGGGCTTGCAATTTCTCTTCAGGAGTTCTATAAGGTTGGATTGGAGTGTTATGGTTATTGGAAAAAGTATGGAAATTTGTTTTAGGAGTGAAGAATTTAGTCAATGATTTGGTGTTTTTTTTAGGGAAAGTAAGTTCTAGGGTTTCTGATTCTATGGTCAGTGATTTTGATAAAGCATTGATTATGATGATGATGATGATGATGATGATGATGATGATGATGATGATGTTGACAGGTTTTGGGTTAAAAGTGTGTTGAATGGGGATTCAAACAATGGGTTCTCAAAGTAGTGGGCTACAGTCTCATTTACAGGCTAATCAGTTAGTTAAGCAAAATTCATGGTATGGTCTTACTCTTGACGAGGTTAACAATTTACTCGGAGATTTAGGGAAGCCGTTAGGGAGCATGAATCTCGACGAGCTTCTTCAGAATGTATGGACTGCGGAAGGGAGTAAGGTTGTTGGGATAGAGAGCGAGCACGTTTCGTCTTCGTCGTCTTCTCTTCAACGTCAGGCTAGTATGACGTTGGCTCGTGCTTTGAGTGGGAAGACGGTGGATGATGTATGGCGAGAAATACAGCATGGTCAGAAGAAACAATATGGCGGAGATGAGAAGATTGTGGACAGAGAAATGACTCTCGGTGATACAACGTTGGAGGATTTTTTAGTACAGGCAGGGCTTTTCGCTGGAGCTTCTGATAGTTCGACGGTGGGGTTGGATGCGATGGATACAGTTGTTCCTCAGAGTTTTCAACCGAGAACAGGCTTGTTATCCTCTTCTTCTATTAGTAGTATGTCAGACGCGAAACCAGGTCGCAGAAGGGATAACTCGGATGCATACGAGAAGGCTCTCGAAAGGAGGCTGAAAAGGAAAATCAAGAATAGGGAATCTGCCGCACGGTCACGGGCAAGAAAACAGGTTTAGCCTTTATGCTTATTATGTTAAGTAATAACCTTTAAAGAAATTGATTGTATTGGTCTCTTCTTCATTTGAGTAGCCGAAATATCATTTGTTTTCTCACTTATAAATGTTTGATTGTACAGGCTTACCATAACGAACTGGTTACCAAGGTTACTCGACTAGAAGAATTAAATATACAGCTCAAGAAAGAGAAGGTTACTCGACTATAAAATTTATCCATAATTATTACAAGAATTTTTTGAGTCATGTCATGCTGCTACTACGAAATTCTGATTATACTGTAATAAATTATTTCCCTTATGCAGGAGTTTGAGCAGAGGCTACCACCTGAACCATCACCTGAACCAAGATGTCGTCTTCGAAGAATAAGTTCCGCCCTTTTCTGACGTGTGACGAACAATGAAGTTTCGTAGATCCTTAAGTTCACGGCTGTATCTTGAAGTGTTCGTGGTAAATAGAGCATAACTTTGTTGCTCAGTGTTGCTGCCGCTGGCGTGCTTTCATTACAATAGTAGCATGTTCAATCTACATCTATATTCAACTAACTAAAGGGTACATATTAGCTAAGGTTTGATGTTCATAGAGTTTCGTGGCGGAAGTGTTGCCTGTTTGTGTGAGAATGAAGATTGTCTTTGTAAGCTGTGGTGATTATTAGGGGATATAGTTCTTGAAAAAGGTGATTAACTTCCAAAGCAAGTGAAACTAAGTAGGTTTTACTATAGTATTTTGAAACTGCAGGATTGTAATAGACTTAATCTTAGTTATACTATGGTTCAGTTGTGGAAAAGTTGGTGTGCTATGTAGAGAAAGAAACTTTATGGAAAAATGAAATAGCAAAAGAAAAATTGGTTTATGATATATGGTGTTTTTGTGGAATTATGTCACCATTGAGACATGATTTTTTATATAGTTTCCATATTCATTGTTAAAGGTACTCTTCTGTGCTTTCTATAAATATAAAGTATCAAAAAAAGAATAATTTTATGTTGCGTCAAACACGTTTGATATCTTTCTCTCAAAAGGCTGCACTAACAACTTTCACACGATGAAAAAACTTAAACTGACGTGAGAGGCCAAATCAATTACTCTCATATATGAAGATAACATGAAATTAGAACAATAAAAAAGTTTCATCAAAATTCCCTATTCGATTTATAGTCTTGAATGGAACTTTAGTTCATAAATAATAGTAAATTTGTGTTTCTGATAAGTCTACTTAAAAAAACATCGTTGTGAAGATTGTTTCGCCTTTCAGTTTTGGTCCACCAGCTATCAATGTCATTCTTGAATCAATAAGATTATGTCATACACAAATACATCAAAATTTGTAATTAGCATAAACATGCAACTAAAAGAGTTTATAACTTGTTTTTATAAACTCACAATACAATATTTTTAATGACTAAGATATATAACAATTGTGGTTCCATCTTCCTTATTCTTCTTTGGATTTATCAAATCTGAATGAACTGTTCTAGCAATGGCGTGCTCTAAACGGGGCATGTGTGGTTCTAGCAATGTGGAGTTAGTTGAATCATGTGTACACATATTTCTTAGGCATACTCTAGAGGACAATACCTTTTAAATGGGAGAATTTGTTTTTCTCTGCATTATAGGTGGGTCTCAATGGAGGTGTTGGTTGTTGACGGGAAATGTCACACATGTGATGTTCTGATGTCTTAGTATGTGTTACTATTTCTAGTTGAAAAGAGTAGGCTTAGAGAGCAGTGGAAGGCAGTGTGATCTTGCTTCCAAATGTGTAACATTGTCTACTGATTGGTAAAGAAGTTTTGTTCAAAATAAATGTTTGACGGGATGTCAGGATATTATACAAGACATGTTTCCTTTGTGACTAACAAGGAAATAGTATGGACATTGTAATCAAGCACATGTCAGGAGGAAGTGTAAAATATGATTTTTTTTTTCTATGCATGCGCATTTATTGGAATTATAAAGATAGTCAGAAATTGTTTTGGACGGTGCATTTATTTTCGATTATCTTCCTCAAATGACCATGATCTTTAATTCCTAAGAAAATTACTCGGTTATTTAAGGAGGTAATTTTTTCCCTCTTTCACCTTGTGTGTGTTTGCGGTTAACATAGTACCTATGTCTTTTTGTTTGGGTATGGGTGAGTACCTTCTGTGATTGGTTCTGTGAAGAATTATGTCGTCAATTTTTAGATAAAAAGGAGGAGAGAGGTTTCATTCAGCTAATGAGTTTGAAGGTTAATTTTGAAACAACTCTACGAAGATGGATAAAATGTTCTACTCTGAGTCTGTTGTCATTGTTGTTGTGACTAATGATCTGAGTTATGAACACAATCGTGACCTGTGTTCTAAGTTATCTGGGATGGTGGTTGGTCATCTCTCAAGGGTTCTCTTATGTCCCATGTGAGGAAGGTTTCTGGATTAAAGGGGGAGTATCCTTAAGACTTTCTTATCAAATCATCCTGAAGTGGTTGTAATGGATTAATTCGGCCAATTGTGAAGAGATGTCGAATAAGATGTTCTGACATCAATCAGACTGAGTATTTTACTTTTTTTGGTTGCTATGAAGAGAAGCTGTTTTGCTATGAAGAAGAGCTGTTTGGACTTTTGATTTTTCTGATTGATCTTTGTATTTTTGTTTTGCTGTTATTGTTGTAATCTGAGTTGTAATTTGTATATTTATTTTAGCCAAAATTCACCATTGAACATCATTTTTTTTTATAGTTTTCTTTCTTTAACGTCGGTGTATAAATGTAAAAAAGAGAATAATTTTATGTTGCGTCAAACATATTTGATATATTTCTCTCAAAAGGCCGCACTAACTCCTCTCATGAGGTGAAAAAATTTAAATTTAAATTGATAGAAGAGACCAAATCAATTAGATAACTTAAGATTAAAATTAGAATAATGGAAAAGTTTCATCTCCTATTCCACTTATCTAGATATGTCTAAGCTACTTCTCTCTCCCGCAATCCTTCCATAATCTTTTGAATATCTATGTTTCGTCTCCTTCACTTTTTTATTGCATCAAATGTTGTGTTCGTCATCTTATTAAGTGTAGTATATTTTTCTCAAGTGGATGATAGTATCTTTATATATAAATGATTGTTTTTTGAAAATAAAATATTCACATGATATCACTCACACTGTTGAGAGCAACTTAAAGTGACAATATCAATAATCAAGCTGACGGTGTATCAAAATTAAATTCGTATGAATGCATATATATAATTGTGAACAAAATTAATCTTCATTAAATATCTTGCTCTTCTTGCCTTGTCATTGTAAAAGAGAATAACTTTATATATTCCGTCGTATGCATTTAATTTTTTACTCATTACTTTTACAACAGTAAAAACAGTTTTACATTGAGGTGACCAAGATCTTCAACATAACAAAATTAATAGAAGTACTAACAGAAATGTTAAGAATCGAATCACAATTCCAAAAAAGATGTTTACTGGTCTCAATTGCTTTGCTTTACCATACAAGTTATACTAAGAAGTAATATTGCAACTTTTAGCGCACAAAAATTCTCATCAGTGGAAACATTTTTGTGAAAAAGTCTCCAAACAAGAAGAGATTTAGAAGCTTGAATGGAAGGGCCACGGGTTTGTTGCATGTTTGAGTAATCAGTTCACATTTTTTAAGGAGAATAACACAGTCAGAAAGTGCAATTGGACACAAAATAATATTCAGACAATTTTCCGTCTTTGGACAACTGAAAACAGATTTCTGCAAATAGTTAATCACATGCTTCTAGTGAGTACAACTGAAAACAAAAACCTCTTGTACGCCACGTCCATGTCCAATTTATCATAGGAACATTTAACAAACAACCAAACCTTGAATTCAAACTTCTAAGCAACACAGATGTTATGATATTATTATAAATGCAAAAATATATAGCATTAATGTATTGGAGATTTATTTTATAACCAACACTTGTATTGGAAGCTATCTTAAGTTGCATATAATAAAACAGTCTAAGATCCCCTTAGTGTAGTAGTCTTGAATGAATGGAAGTTTAGTTGATAATACTAAATTTGTGTTCCTTATAAGTCAAGCATTGGTGTGAGGATTATTTGTCCTTTGAGTTGTGGTCCAGCAGCTATATATCAATGTCATTCTTGAAATGCTCCCTGCATGCATTCCCCAGAATGGATAAGGTTAAAATATATAAAGGGTTATGCTACAGTTACAACATAAGCTGCTCCAATTATCAATCCCTTAAGAAAGTTGGGAACCGTTGCAGCTATAATCATGATTGAGCTCTCCACAAGAGCAACACATCACAAAAGATCCAAACAAATATACATAAATAGGAAGCTGAACTGAGTGCCCAGATTTAAGTTTCTTCAGTGCTTGGACAAGTGAAATGCATCTAACAAAAGAGTGAGTGTTGTTTTTTTGCAGTAAAGTGATGTAAGTAGTGCAGAAAGGGAAAAGCTGTAGCAAGGAAGCTTATCATTCATTGTCCATCCATCTCTCTCTATTTCTCATGGAAGCTCAAGGACCTTGAATTGGATTCAATAGAAGTGATTGTGATGATGATGATGATGTTTGAGACACAAGAATGTAGCATCTCTGTTATACAACCTTGGTAAACAAGTCCCATAACGAAAAGAGTAACAAGATACATCTAGTTTATAAATGCCAGAGACAGAGAATCAATCGCCGAGTTGAGTAACTACAACTTGTGACCCAAGTGGGGGCATTAATGTGATGGAACATGGCTTTGGTCCAGTTAGCTGGACTGGGTCGTACACTATTCTGGCCTGTCCGCTCCAAGTTGAGAGTTGGGCCATGGGGTTTGGGCGAAGGCCCAGATCTCCTGGCTACTAGAATGGAGGGAACCGCATGAGGCTGGCTTTACAGAGCAGTGAACACCACCTGCTCTTGACAGTGGAGGGATTGCAGGCTGCTGTATTCTCAGTCCATAATAGCCTACTTGGGCCTGGCACATTTGAACCATCACTTTTTTGTTTTTGGGCCTTTTAACAAAAAAATAAATAATTTTATATATAAATACTTTTGGTTTTTTTAAATCATAAAAAATAATTTGTTTGCTAATTTAATTTAATTTTTTTAAAATATTTTTGTTCTCGTTGTGTTCGTTCATAAGAGAAGGCCCAAATCATTTTATAAAAATATTATTATTATTTTTTTCGTTGGATCGGTTCATAAGAGAAGGCCAAGATATTGTTTTCCTTATCTTAATCTCTAGGTTGTCATTTTTAAAACATCTGAAATGAACCTGTCTCTTCAATAGGAAAAACTTTTTTCCTTATCGATACTCATTTTTATCTCGTATAACCAAGTCTCGTGTTCAACGAACAATCATGTTTTTTTATCCATTTGTTCGTATTGCCAACTAAAATAGAAACAAAACATGAGAAAATAAGTCAATCGACCGGTAAGACATGAAGTCAGGAGCTAATTTTCTCTTAGATTGGAGGCTAAGGGGATTACTGTGATACGGTGGGAGAACTGACTTGGATCGTTTGCGTTTGATCGCAATTGTGCGGTTAACAAGAGTTGCCGCCGACTTTTCTTTTATCCAAAAGGAAAGGTAAAAAAGCACAGGAAAGACCTTTCGAGATTATTTCTCGGGTTCGGGGGGTAGATTATGAAAAAGGAAGGTGTTAGCATCCTTTTCATCCATGGTTTTCCATGGGCTCTTAGTTACTTGCTAGATCACTTGTTTTTGTTTGAAATTATGCTTTGTGTGGTTTTGAAAGTATTTTTGAAAAGAGGTCATTGTTTAGGCAAAATTTGTAATGATTCTCGTTCGTAAGAATGTATACAAAGTGTTTGATCTTTTGAAAATGTTTTCAAGTTTTGAAAGATGTTTTGAAAGTGTTGGTGTAAAATGTTTGGTTGTGAGCAAGCGAGCGATTAAGAGCGAATCTACCTACTCGAAAAGTCTTAAATGTTCTATTCCTCCTTTAGATGTTGCTATCTTACCATTGATTTGGTAAGAAGCCCCATCGTTGGATGTGAAGGGACAGACGCGGGACGATTGTACAGTCATAGAAGGCAACTTGTGAGACACTTTAGCAATTTTCGTAAGGGACTAGATCATTTTATCGAAGGCAACATCGAGGAACGTCGAGGGACTACGATCTTTTTTATCGAAGGGTCTTTGCTAAAGTGTCCCATATTCGAGGGACATGACTGTATTTCCGAGACAACGAGCGAGGTTACCCTAGAGGTGCGCGTGTGAAAAAGTATGTTCGTTTCAAGTTAATTTCGTGAAGAATTTACCTGAACGAAGGTTTCTTCCGGTTGATGATGTCTGGCGTTTCGAAGCTCCAGCGAGGCTTTGTTCAGGTATGCTCCGATTTTCTTCTCTTCTCCTCTGTTACGTGTGTGATATCAAAATTGGTGTTGTAATGTTAATTTGTGAAGGTTTGTGTCAGGTTGCGGTGAAGGTTTGATGAAGAGGATGAAAGGATGCAATTTTAATTCAGAGATGGGGTTGGGATTTCCGGTAAGCTTGATCTGTGCTTGTACATAGTGTAAAGGAAATCCGACTCCAGTAGTCTGAATTCTTTGGATATATGAAATACGGTTCTGGGAATTTTGGTGATGATCTCTGTTATGATTATGGTACAGAATTCTTCATAGTTTTTCTGTTTGGACAAATGATGATGTTGATATCTTCTGGGTTTTGATGTTCTTGTGTTCCTATCTTTTCTGATTTTTGCTGTTTTTTTCCTTTCTATTTCCTTGGCCCCTAGTTTTCTTATGCTGGCTTGGTTCTTCTGTTTATTGGCTATCTGTTGGTTTTCTATGCTGGTTTTTGGCCTGTCAAAAAAATGTTTTCTGTTGTTATTGTGAACTCTGTTATATAGAGCTAGATATTGAAATTATGAGGGAATTTGGAATCCATCTTTGTTCACTAAGTGCACTATTTTTTTTCTTTTCTTGCACAAGTTTTGGTATCATGCATTTTGGGTTAAAGATTGTTGCAGCAACATAACAGGTCACAGGTTTTTAGCCTATTTGTGCAGCAAGGTTGGACTAATGCAGGGCTTTGGATAACAAGCTGGTTTTGTGGATTGTTTTGCCATTTTTATTACAAATTTTGACTTGGCATGTTTGTGTGCAATTTTGGTTGTATATGTTGCACCCCAAAATTTACCCTCTTGATTTAGGCTTATGTTTCATCATGAATATCATATTGCATTGCATTCATACATTGTGATGGGATCAAAATACTTTGGTTATCAAGTTTTCCTCAAGCTTTGAAGGTTGATTGCATTGACAAGTTGCTCAAGTAGAATCTTATCATCTAAACCTCTGGATCTTTTAAGCTCAAGTTATTGCATATCTCAAGATATTTTATCCATCTCTTTGGATTATCATAGGATTGAAGTTTGTGTTTGATTATAAGAGGAATCACTCTTTTGATTTACCAAGTCAAATTAGGGTTTTGTTTGAGCAAGGCTATTGATCAATGTACAAGTCCTGATTTAGAAGCTACAACATCTCATTGATATTTGAAAAGTCTTTGTACAAGAAATTGGTCAAGATGTCCAGAGGATGTGAAGTTTTGAAGATGATTCATCAGTCTCCTAAGGTGTCAACCAAAACTAGGGTTTGGGATTTTATCAGGATTTCTTGAGAGTTTTAAAGTGAAACTTTGTACATGGCCTCTATATGTTTGTAAGATCATATGTTTGAAGTTTTGATCATCAATTTTGAAGGAAAGTGGATCAATTGATTCAAAGGGGCAAAATGGTTATTTTGGTCAAAATCAATCAAAGTCAAGGTTGACCAAGTGAACTTTTGGTCAACCATCAATTCAAGGGTGTAATTTTAACATTTCAAGTCCATTTCGATCATTGGATCAAAAATATTGAGGTTTGGGTTAAAACTTGTTCATGAAGAAACCCTAAAAGTTTCTAATTTTGGAAAATGAGGGCTTAATTTCAAAAATTCATATTTTATTCACCTTTGATCAAAAAATGCAAATGAAGTATGCTTGGAAAGATAAGAGGATAATCTTTCATCTCCTTTTGGTATCATGTCCAAATTGGCAAAGAGTCAAGAGTTATGAAGCTTAGAAGTCACAAAATTATAGGTCATTTTCCAAAAGTAGTGGATTTCAAGCTCAATTTTGGGAAACTTAATGGATCCAATTGCAAAAACTCAAAACTAAGGGATTGTATAGATTTTCAATACCTTTCCAAATTGTACTTATTTGTGTCCAAATTCAAAAATATGAGCAAGTTATGGACCTGGGAACTTGGAAGCATTTCATTGAATTCATGCATACCATGCAAATTGCAAATTCTTGATAACTTGATTTATGGCCATTTGTTTCACTTTAAACTTGGCCCATGACTAATATGCAGTGTACTAAGGCCTTTCATGCCAAAGATTGAGCTGCACATGGGCAAATGCAAGGGCAACTCGTGGTTTTGCAAAAAGTGGCATGAAAATGCCTAATCACCAACACTTGTTTAAGACAAGGATTTGAGCCCTAATTCTTTTGCTAATCTCTTCCTGAGATAAAATGGTTTTAAATGCACGTAAAAGGGAAGCAAACGCATGAGGGATTTGAGGGCTGCATGTGCACACTTGATTTTGGCAAAAAGAGGAATTCATTCTTTCTAATAGTTTTCAGTGTGAAAAACCTATCATACCCTCCTCTTCATGCTCTATATATTGAGAGGCAAGCTTCATTGAACGATTTCCATGCTTCATTTCACTCCTGAGCCCAGAAAACTCCATAGCTACTTATTCTGCAAATTTCTTCGATTCTCTCAATTCACTTGCACATTTTGAGTGATTCTTCTTGCATTCTGTTCTCCAAGTGATAAGGATTGTAGATCGAGACTTGGTTTGCAACTGGAGTGAAGGAGACAATAGATTCGTTTTTGCCTCGAAGGTTAGAATTCTTAACTTTGGATCTTGATTTCTATCCGTGCATTGTGTGATTTGAGTTTATAATCATGTTGTTTGAAGTTCATTAAGTGGTTCTGTAGCTTAAGAGCTTTTGATTTGATGAGATATGCATGTATGATGCATCTGAAATTTTATGCTCAATGATTTTTTGTCATTTTCACGCGATCCGTTCTTAATCTATATTTGATTGTTTGATGTGATTCGAATTGCATGATGAAGTATGATATGCTAGCTTTAATTTGTACAAAATTTCACAAAAAATTGTGTAGAATTGAGCATGTTATGTTGATTGGAACATGAGGTGGTAGATCTGATCATGAGCGCGTTTTTGCCCTAGCCAGAGGTTGAAGATGATTGCGTGGCCTCCTCTGGTTGGCTGGTTTGGTTTTTTTAATTCATTTGAATTTTGTTTCATAAATTGATTTTCATGATTTTATTTCTTGCTCAAATCTGGTTGAAAAATTTTAAAAAAATTCAGGGAACCTAAAAATAATATTCTTGACCTTGTGCATTTTTTTTGATAATTTTTGAAAATGTTTTGATTAGTTTAAAAATTTGTGTTATTATTTAATTATTTGTTTAGTGTTTATTTTTGTTTTAATATTTCTTTGATCTGAAAAATTCCACAAAAAGTTATCTTTGACTCAAAAAATTAATTAGAAATTGATTCTGATTTTTGTTTAGCATTTTTTCTATTTTTGATTAGAAATTTAATTTCAAAAGTTTATTTGAAATATTTGTTTCATGTTTTTTATTTTAATACTTCCTTTAATTCAAAAATCCTCAAAAAAATCACATAAGCTTGTTTTTAATCATAGAATATGAATATAATTTTATTTTTGACCTTTTCATGACTTTTGGCTAGGGCTTGCATTTTTTCCTTTAAATAATAGTTTAATTGATATTTGTTTGTTTGATTTTTATTTTAATATTTCCTCTAATTCAAAAATTCCACAAAAAATCAGGGATGTTTGCTTTTAATTCTAATATTTGAATATAATTTTGGTTGGATATTTTTCTGATTTTTTATTAGAGTTTTATTTTGAGATGTAAACTTTT